CAATGCATCAACATTTATTTCTGCTGAAGTGTCTACAAGTAACGTTAGCTCCTGTAGGAAATGTTGGAACAACGGCAGCCGGCTTCGGACCATTGCCTTCTGGTTGGGGTATGTAGCAGATATTATTGTACACGATTCAATTCATCGTTTTTTCTTCTTTTGGCATGTTTCTATTTAACACACATTTGATTTTTTATATTTAATTAAGAACAAAGAACTGCACCGGAAGGTAGGCCGTATTTTGTGGATAATAACATAAGAACAACTGCTTGGGTAGTTCCTCGTAGGCAATAGTATATTAGGATGTATGGTAGAAATGCAAACAATGTTACCATTCAGCAGCAACCTGTATCTCAACTAGGACCACTGCCATCTGGCCAGGAAATGTATTTGACAAGTACAACAAGAGTATATTTTGGTAGATTACAATACAAAAACTACCACATGGCTCAATCCTCGATTACCTAGCAGCTTAGAGACGTAATGCTTGATAAATTCTATTAATACTATCAGGTCTTAATTACGACAACAACCACAAGATCTTAAAAAACGATCGATGATTAAATTTGAAGACGAATTGTATTACAGTGGTTTAACTAGGTAATTATTAAAAATATTCAAATCGAACCCTCAATTGTTCTCGTAAACATAGCACGTGTTAAATGGGATAATTTTACAAATTTTTTCTTTTTGCTTTCTCGTAAAAGTTTTATTTAATTATTTAATTCTTAATTCGGAATTAAATTTCTTTCAGGCTCATCATTGAATAGCGTATTTCTAAACGTGTTGAGGATCAATTTAAAACATTTATGGAAAATTTTAATCAACAAGATTTGATTTCAGTGTTTGACGAGCATGAATTAGAGGTTAAAGTCAAAATTTTACTATGTAGAACTGTTTGCCAATAAGTTTGTTCGATATCGTCTTGTGCTAGTCTGTAATAAAGTCACTACGCAGCAAAAAATCAGTCATGAGAACACCTTGATTGATCCACATTATCCATTATTATTTCAGTTACTTATTGGAGGTATTGCTGAAATTGATGTCGACAATTGGAAGAGACCGAGGATATACAGAATCAGATGAGATTATACAGTAGTTCTGGATGGTTTGAATTACTTACGTTATCTCACCATTTAAGAAAGTTAATATGTAAAATATTGAGGAGATACGGTCTAAATTTTAGTCAATTGCTTACAGGCCTCATATTTGTATTTTTTTTAAAAAAGCGCTTTTTTTTGAATTTTTTATTTGATTTCCAATATTTGTTGCACGAATTTATAGGGCATATGTAATAAAACATTATATAATAAAGGCTTCGAGCCTATGAGAACAGTAGTTTGCGCTTGTAATAAAAGTTGACCCTAATAATTCCCTGCTTTCGCTACCTACGATCATAAATACACCACTCACCAAAATCTAACACGCCTCTCATCGTAGGTCGCCGTTTTAACTGTGCCAGTAGAAATTGCCATTTTTCTGGAATTATTGCCGGCTCGGTTATATTTTGGAGTGACCGGTTATTTTTCCGGTAATCTTCTGATCATGTTACTTAATAATCGGGGTATTGTTCTAGTATATCATTTGTGTAACCATAATTAGTAAATGGTCGTATTTTTATTAATCCATATTCTAGTAATTGTTCATGGACGTATATTGGCTTCTTTATAATACCAGGAACGGAGTATGAAATACGAAGCGTTGGTTATGTAGCGAGTTAAGTGGAGTCGCGGAATCTGAGCATCTGATTGGATGGTACTTCCTTGTGACTTGGTGACTTTGTGTGCGTGCATGCGTTTGTTATCTAACTATAACGATAATTATTATATGTGTTATATTATTCGATTTATCATGTAACTTTTGTATACGTCAAATTATAACTTATTTTATTCGTTGGAATCATTAATATGGGCTTGTATCAGATATTGACAGATTAATCTGTATATATACCAAATACTGGCTTCTGATTGGGTATGGTTCTAAATGGTATGATATCCTGATTTATATCTTATTTATCTGGCACGTGTTATATATGCAGGCTTGCGGTAAAAATTGCGTCAAACAGATCAAACACGTTTATTGTATAATAAGTAGCTGCGCGACGTTGTTACGCAAAACCAGGAACGGAAGATGGATGAAACTGCTTTGTCATAAGTTTTATGTTTGCTTAGTATTAGTATGGTATAGATGTAACATTCTTGCATGTATGTGGTTTTTTAAAATAAATTATTTACTTTTGTTGTTATTTTATTTCATGTAACTGGTAAATATAATAAACATTTGTCAAT